GGGGGGGGGGGGTACTCTTAGATGAATAGAATCCTAGATTTTCTGAGGTTGGAAGAGTCCATGGCATTGCCAAGGCCTCATTTTCAGATCTCTGCTCCATTGTTGTTTCCCAGGTAAGTCTAACCTGATCAACCCACTCACAACAGCACCCCATCCAGCCTGCCCCTGTACCCTGCTTCCTCATGTCATCCCTCCTTACATCCTAGTCTCTATCCTGTGGTTTATTCCATCTCTCTTGCCACTTTGTATGCCCCCTAAGGGCAGGTACTTGGTTTGTCTAATTCACTGTTGTATCCCCAGGGCCAAGAATAATGCCTGGCACATGGAAGGTGCTCAAAGAAGAGAATTGTTGAAGAATGGGGAGAGTGAGACCTTAGACATGGCAACACCAGCGTCAGACACCCTCCCTGCTGCGATTTCCCTGGGGACATCCTGGAATCGTGCTGGAGTCCCACAGTCACCCAGGAGCTGGAAGGCCTCCCCCCTGCACAGGACTGCGTTTGAGGCTAACCAGGCAGGCCCTCCCAGCGGTATGTTCTACCCAGAGGGGAGAGGGGCAAGGATGTCATTCTGCTCTGCCGCCCCTGCTCCTCCCAAATCTGACCTATTAAGTCTGGAATTTCAAGTTCAAATAGACCGAAGCATGGGTGTGCAGGAGGTGACTTTTGAGGGCTCTGAGCAGGGTAGGGGCCTGGGGAGATTGTGGTATCTTAAAATAAATATTCTCAGAGCTGGAAGAAAGAGGGAAGGAGGCCGGGAGCAAATAGCAGAGGGTGGGCAAGGAGGCCCAAACAGGAAACTCTTTTTATTTTTCCTCAAAGGGACACTTCTTTTTTTCACCCAAGAATAAAAATATTTGCTCACCAAAGCTGTTCAAACAATACATAAAAGCATGAGGAAGAAGGTAAAAGGACTCACTATTCTACTTCCCAGGGATCTAGCCAAAAGTTATGAGCCCATTTGGGTCACATGGCCTAGGCTCAAATCCTGGCTCAACTGCTTTCCAACTTCAGATCTTGAAAGGATCCCTGAGAGTCTCTGTGCCCTGGTGTTTTCATCTGTAAAATGGGAGTCACTGATGTTCTTCTCAGCCTCTCTGCCCACTCTTTGCTATTCCCCCCTCTTTCCTCCAGCTCTGAGAACATTTGTTTTAAGACACCATGACCTGCTTTGGCCCCTGCCCTGCCCACATCCTGCAAAGGCACCCGCTGCACACCCATGCTGTGGTCTGTTGAACTTGGGATTCCAGGCTTAATTGGTACCTGCCATGGAGTATTGTTGTGAGGATTAGATAAGTCATGACATGGAAGGGGCTTAGAATACTGTCCGGCATGTGGTGAGGGCTTTAGATGTGTTTGCTGGCATTTTATCATCATCACCATCATCATTGTCATTGTTGCCACCATCATCACCATTATCATCATCTTTGCAGCAGTTCTTTATGCACCATCCTGTCTTTTCCATCTGTCCATTCATCCACTCATCTGTCCATCATCCATCCATCCATCCATCCATCCATCCATCCATCCATCCATCCATCCATCCACCCGTCCGTCCGTCCGTCCGTCCATTCATCCGTCCATTCATCCACTCATCCATCCACTCATCCATCCATCCATCCATCCATCCATCCATCCATCCATCCATCCATCCATCCATCCATCCGTCCACCCATCCATCCACCCGCTCACCCGCCCATCTGCTCATCTGCTCATTCACCCATCCACTGACCCATCCACCCTCCTCAATGGGAATAAGCCCACGTGCTCTTAGGGAACCTGCATTTTACACTCCACACTATATTACAAATGAACAGAGTGGCCCTGGTCCTGGTTAATAGGGGCGGGGTGGGTAGAAATCTCACATCCCTGAAGCATGAGTGTGCTGGGTTCTGTATCCATGGGCAAGCCTAGACTTTGTCTGGGTGCCTTTGAGTGTAATAGACTTTGTAGATCAAGAATATTTGTAATCAAATACGTTGTCAGTAAGAAAGATCATTCCCGGAAGATCTTCAAAATCAAAAGTAACCAAATAAATGTTTATGCCATTTCTATGTTTCTCATCTCCCTCATCAGGCTGGGGGTTCCTGGAGGCAGAGACTGTGTCCCCGGAGGCAGAGACTGTGTCCCCCTCTTGCCCCATTAGACTGGTAGTTCCCCAGATGGCGGGTGTTTTTCCTTTCTCCATCTCTCCCTTTGCCATCCTCCCACCCCAGACCTGTGAGCCTGGAGAGTTCTGGTTTATTCCACTCTGTGGAGTGGCTGCCTGGAATGAGAGGACCCCGTGTCTGAGGAGGGGTGTCCTGTGATTCCTGAGGGAACTTTCCTCCCCATCACGCCTAAGGCCCCATATGGAGGGAGCATGCCACCTGTAGTTCATCATCTCCACTCGGAGGCCTAATAGACATTTCACATCTAACAAGTCCAGCAAGAACAGCCAACCTCCTGCCCAGCCTGCCCACCACCAGCCTTTCCCACCTCTCAGATGACAACTCCATCCTTCTAGCCACTGGGGCTCTGAACACTTCAGCCATCCTTGACTCCGCTCTTTCTCTCACGCCCAAATCCAGTCCATCAGCAAACCTTCCCAGTTTCATCTTCAAGATACATTCAGAATCCAACCACTTCTCACCACCTTCACTGTTACCCCCAGGACCAAGCCACCATCATCTCTCGCTTGGAAGTCATTGCACTGTCTAATGTTACCCACGCTTTACTTATGTAACTTATTGCCTGTCTCCCCAGAACACAAATGCTGTGGGAGCAGGGATTGTGGTCTGTTTTGTTCATTCCCATCGCCTTGTGTCCCCATCGCCTAAAGGATTGTCTAACACAGAGTAGGCGCTCAATGAATGGCTCTCAAACGAATGAATGAAATTCCATAAACACGCCAAGAACAGGCGGGAGCCAGCACTTGCTAGAGATAGAAGGCGGGGATTTTCAAAAATAAATCACCCCTCCCCAGCCCATTGCTCTGAGCTCCTTCTCAAGTGCCCTCCCCACTGGCTGGCCAAGGATGCCCACCTGGGGTGGCTTCCCCCACCTCTGGAGTGGAGGTACCAGGGCATAACCTCACATTTTGGCGGGGGGTATAGCGCAGCGAGTCAGGTGGACCTCGTGCAAACTCTGGCTCTACCACTTACTATCGGTGTGACCGGTAGCCACGATTCTCTCCAGTAAAATTGAGATACTAGTGATGATTCCTGGCACTTGTTTTAGTGAATTCTGGGTGCCAGGCACCGTGCTGAAACTCTCACACGTAGCTCATGTGGTCCCCACATCAATCCAAAGGAACAAGTACTATAGCTACAACTTCTACCTTACTCAGGGAGCCAGAGCCACGGAGAGGCGAGCTGCCCAAGGTCATAGCTGTACGAGGCAGAGCCGGCCTGGAGCCCAGGAGGTCTGACTGCTCGGTGCTTTATATGCTGTCTGACCTCCTGGCATGTAAGATAAGATCTGGCGCCTGGTGCACAGTCAGTCCCCAGAGGACACTGACATCTTCGCCGTGTGGGGTCAGACACCCAGAGTCTATGGATAGATGCAGAGCTAGGGAAGGGGACCGGGAGTGATGGGAGCTTGCTGGCCTTCTGTTAGCAGCTGATTTCCCCCACCAGGGGCACCAGCTGAAACCCTCTTGTCCATCCCCCAGAGAAGCCTGGGGCCTCCGCCCCTGGCCTCCGGATTGACAGGCCTGAATGAGAAGGGCTGGGCATGGAGCCAGGAGGTGGGGACTTCGCTCAGGCAGGCTAATCAAGTCTCGGGGTGAAATTAAAAGGGAGGAGGAAGCAGGGACCTGTCAGAATTCACACTTCTTCCCGGCTACAGGGTGCCTCGGAGAGGACCTGGGGAGCCAGGGCGCGAGCAGGTCGGGAGCCAGGGCCATAGGATGGCCTCACAGAGGGCTGTGCGGCTGTCCCTGAAGAAGCCCACCCATGCAGTGTGTGTGGTGGGAGTCAAGACATATGTGGATGTTCGCAGGTGAGAACCGAGAGGCACCCACCTGGCTGCAGAGGGCTGCCCTGGAAGGAAGGAAGGAAGGACCCTGAGGCAATGGGGTGGGAGCCTCGTATTGTTTTGACAGCAAAGCAGGTACAGTTGGCTGTAGAGCTTGGGAGGGAGGGACTAGGGTACCAGTCCACCTTGGGGCCCCGGTTCCTGGGCACCAGGGTCAGGACCCGGGCCTTGAGTCCCTGGATAAGAGTTCCAGCTTTGAGCCTGGAGCCAGGCTTGGAGGGCTGGGCACTGGCTCTGGTGGCTGAGTGGAACTTGTGTGGAGCATCAGAATGAATTGTTGCTCAAGTTGGGGAACAGGACTGGGCATCCTCAGCGTCTTGCCAACAACCCACCTCTCTGAAGAAGGGGGGTAAGGTGTGTGGCAACTTGGTCCTGGGAGGCTAACCAGGGTGATAGACATCAGGAGGGAGTGGTTAGGGGACGATTCAATGCGTTAAAAAAGGGAAAGAACTTACAATAAGACCCGGGGCTGTGTCTCTGTGATGGTGGTGGTGGTGGTGGCAATGGTGGCAGTGACGACATCTGAGGGGCAGCAGAGCATCCGCTTCTCCAGTTGGCCACAATCCTCCCTGTCCGGGATCTGCCCAGATGGGGACAGGCCCAGGGACTGGGCCCAGTCTCAGTTTCCCCACCTGGCCACTGATGGAGTTAGACCTGAGGATCTCTGGGGGCCTTCCCAGCTCTGACAGACTAGCTATGGGTTCTGTCTTGCTGTACAGATAGGGCTGGAGCCCCTGCAGATGGGGGGCTCAGGGTGGGAACCCCCTCCCAGAGGGGCTGAGGTCTGTTACAAGGTGGGGATCTGAGCTCCTGCTACCCTCTTGGGTCCTAGTACCTGTGCTGCCCCAGTCTGGTTAATGAATGCTGAGACCGGCTTCCCACCTGGCCTCAGGTGAACCTCTGTCCCAATGTCCTGGAGCCCCAGTGACAGGGCTGGGAAGGAGAGCCAGGATCCCTGGAAGTCAGACTTTGGCTCTAAGTCACACTGGGGCCCTGCTGTAGGGTTGGTTCTCTCAGAACTGAGTGGCCAGCAGGGATCCCATTATCTCCTGTACCCTTTTAAAAAATAATTTAAAATTTTTTTAAAATTTATTTTGAGATTACGTTTATTAAAGCTGGAGACAGTGAAACAAGAAAGGGCCTAGGATACAAGAAGCCACAGGGGAGAGACTAGGCGGGGCCTCTTTGGCTCTAGAAATGTTTTGAGAAAGAAGTGGGCCAAGGCGGGGCTGCTTTAGCTCGTTGGAGAGTCAGAGAGAAGGGGCCTTGGAGACAGGTTCAGGGGGTTAGCCGGGGAGGAGCTGCCGCTGTCCATTGCTCCCCTTGTTGAAAGTCTGGTGGGGTCCTTTAGAGTTTAGGAGATGCGCGCCTGTCGGGGAGGGAAAGGCGTGGGCGTGCTCCTGGGAGGGAGAGTGGACCAACTTTTTTCAATTATAGTTGACACACAATATTATATTAGTTTCAGGTGTACAACACAGTGATTAGATATTTATAGAACTTAAGAAGTGATCAGCCTGATGAATCTAGTGCCCATCTGACACCACACGCAGTTATTATGATATTATGACTATATTCCCTATGATGCACTTTATGGCCCCATCTCCTGCCCTTTTAGCACGGGGTTGCCAGACTTAGCAAATGACAATACAGGACTCCGGCTTAGGTTTGCATTTCAGATAAACATAATTTTTTTTTTTAGTACAGTAGCTCCCCCCCCCCATCCTAAGTTTCACTTTCCATGGTTTCAGTTACCTTTGGTCAACTGTGGTCCAAAAATATTAAATGGAATATCTCATAAATAAACAATTCATAAGTTGTAAATTGTGCACCGTTCTGAATAGTGTGATGAAATCTCACGCTGTCCCGTTCCATCCCGCCTGGGGTGTGAATCATCCCTTTGTCCAGTGTGTCCACCTTACTTCATCTCATCACCTAGGCACTGTATCATCTCACATCATCACGAGAAATAGAAGATATTTTGAGAGAGGAGAGGCCACAGTCATATAACTTTTACTACAGTATCTTGTTATAATGTTCTATTTTATTATTAGTTATTGTTGCTCATCACTTACCGTTCTTAATTTATAAATTAAACTTTATCATAGGTAAGTATAGGAAAAAACAGGGTATATATAAGTACTAGCTGTGGTTTCAGGCATCCACTGGGGTCTTGGAATGTATCCCCTGCGGATTAAGGTAGACTAATATATTTTAGGGGATATACCTGTATTTTAAAAAATCTGCTGTTTAGCTGAAGTTCAAATTTAGCTAGGCATCCTGTATTTTGTCTGGCAATCCTGTTTTAACACCAGGAGAAAGGAAGAGGTCTCTAGTGGACTCCGGACCTCTGTTCTCATCCCAGGGTGGCTGTTTCTGGAAGGTAATTTTAGAACCTCAGGCCCTTCATGGCGCTCCTGACTAGGGCCAGAAGCATTTGACTGGGAGCCAGGCAATCGCTGATGGGGATCTCTGGGGGCCTTTCCGTCTGCCGCTGACTTGCTGTCTGGCCTAGGCCCAGTCACTGGCCCTCTCTTAGCCTGGACACGACCAGCTGAGTCCCCTTTTCAGTTCAGTGTGGAGGTGAAGTGCCCAGACGCTGGAGCTGGACAGACTTGGGTTCTTATCCTAGCACTTTCCATTCATGGCACAGTGACCCCAGGCAAGCTACTGCACTTCTCTAAGCCTCAGTTTTCTCATCTGACAAATGGAGAAACAATAGCACACACTGCAGTGGGGGAGGATTTGTGAGACCCCAGGCATGGTGGGTGCCCTGGAGTGGGAGATGCTTACAGCAATGACAGCTCTGTGGGTCCCTTTTTCTCCAGCATTTGTGTTTCCCATCATGCCTCAGGGTGGGAAGAGCAGAGGACAGATCAGTGCGTGTGTGGTGGGAACACAGGGCGATGCTGACAGTAAAGCTCCTTTGGGGTCATCAGGGGCCTTAGCAGCCTCAAGTATGGGCCCTGCCCAGCCAAGGGGCAGGAGAAAGTCACCGGGGGTTGCTCGGGGGTTGCTCGTAGCTGCCTAGCTCTGCTTCACTCTGGGAGGGGGCGCTGCTTCGGGGTCCTGAGCAAGCACTTTGAGAGACCTCCACTCGAGAGCCCTTTAGGAACCTTCTCCCCGGGTGTTGGCAGTGACTAGGGTCACAGCCACTGAGAGTCTCTAAACTAGAAAACAGAAGCTTATTCTGCAGCAGACTGGTTTAAAAGTAGACCTACAGAGCTTCCCGCCGGTGAGGTTGGCCATAGGTGCAGAAAGAGGGATGTGGAATTTTCAGGAGAGGAAGAGAAGGGGGGATGGTATTGTCAACCTAGGAAAGTTTTAAGAGGAGCCTGAAGCTCACTCCAAGGCCTTGGCTGGCTAGGAGGAAGAGGCTACTCTTTATAATGAACTTGGGGCTCCCCCGCCCCCATTGCTAGGTGCCTTGCGAGCTGAGGCCAAGCAAGGGCTTTCTATTTGGCCTTGCTGGTAGAAGGGGGAAGTCCCCCAGAAGAGAGATGTGCCAGTCACCTGAGCTGCCCTGAGTCTGAACCCTCCAGGAGAGCCTGTGCAGATGGGCGTGTGGGGGTGACATCATGGGAAGTGATTAATTCCCCCAGGTGCTGAGTAGACTGGTGATTTGGAGAAATATTTGTGTTTGGGTAATTGTGTGCCCAGGGTGTCTCAGCCCAAGAAACCCTTAGAAACCCCCTACAGCATGTGCTGCAGATCCTACCCCCCCCCCAACAGCAGGCTAACTTACCCCTCCTCACCCCAGCGGGCTAGCTCACCACCCTCCCCAGTGGGCTAGCTCACCACCCTGAATCTCTTACACTAGCAAGCTAGCTCACCACCCTGACCCCTCAGGCCTGGCCAGACTGCCCTAGCTGTCCATGTCCTTGCTTAGAAGTGGCCCCCATAGGACTCATGCCAAAAATAGAGGAGCTGCGCAACATGGGGAATCCATTAGTGGTCCAGCCTGTCCCCCCTTGTCTGCCCAGAGGCCAGAATCAGAGCCCCAGCCCGAGGAGAAGGCTGTCTGGGGGGGATGGGGACATTCTCCTGGAGTTTTCCCAAGCCTCCCCTCCCAGCCCTACAAAAGCATCAAAGCAAAAGAAACTGTTTGGATCAGAGATTGCTAGAATTCAAGGAGCACAGGGAGGAGGGTCTCTATAGGACCTCTCAGACAAGCCAGGGAGAGGACCCAGGCAGCTTCATTTTTCTGGGGCTCCCTTATTTCAGAAAAAGAAACTGCCGAAACAGTTATAAAACTTGTGGTAAATATGTTCTTAGGATTTACAGGAGTAAATCAATGCTTTTAACTTGCACAGGAGTACAATGAGGCATAATTGTGCTCCTCACATGGTAATTTAATCATAGGATTGATGTCGGTGTTAATCACAGTGACTGACAGGTTCGGACTGCTGGGCTGGGACATGGGTTTCATGCCCCACGATGACCCCTCCTCCTCTCCCCATTCTGTTCTGTATCGCATTGCTTTATCACAAGCTTTAAAGTTTAAATTTGGAAAATAGGAGGCCGGGGTCCCCCATAAGTTCCCTGGGGCCATGAGAGTCCCGTGAGCTGCAGACTCTGGATGTGGAAGGTGGAGTGTGTTCTTGAAACGTACAATATTGCTGGTCAGGGAGGGCCTCAGAGGCCAGCCACCCCTTAGTTCAGATGTCCCTGTTGCTACCTGCCACTTTCAGACCAGCTGGAAAACCTCTCCTACCGGCCACTCTTTCCTGCCTGCTTCTGGCCCCACCCCACTCCCTGCCCCCCCCCC